CTTCTTTTCACTCTGTCATTTAAGTCATTATTATGGAGTCACTACAATTTTTATTTTTTTATTTTATTTCACCTTTATTTAACCAGGTAAGCCAGTTGAGAACAAGTTCTCATTTACAACTGCGACCTGGCCAAGATAAAGCAAAGCAGTGCGGTAAAAACAACAACAACACAGAGTTACATATGGAATAAACAAAACGTACAGTCAATAACACAATAGGAAATGTAGTAAGTTAGAGGTAAGGTAATAAATAGGCCATAGTGCAAAATAATAATAATAATAATAATAATACAATTATAATTTAGTATTAACACTGGAGTGATAGATGTGCAGAAGATGATGTGCAAATAGAGATACTGGGGTGCAAATGAGCAAAATAAATAACAATGTAAATAACAATATGGGGATGAGATAGTTGGGTGGGCTAATTATAGATGGGCTGTGTACAGGTGCAGTGACCGGTAAGCTGCTCTGACAACTGATGCTTAAAGATAGTGAGGGAGATAAGTGTCTCCAGCTTCAGAGATTTTTGCAGTTCGTTCCAGTCATTTGCAGCAGAGAACTGGAAGGAATGGCGACCAAAGGAGGTGTTGGCTTTGGGGATGACCAGTGAGATATACCTGCTGGAACACATACTACGGGTGGGTGTTGCTATGGTGACCAATGAGCTAAGATAAGGTGGGGATTTGCCTAGAAGTTATTTATAGATGACCTGGAGCCAGTGGGTTTGGCGACGAATATGTAGTGAGGGCCAGCCAACGAGAGCGTACAGGTCACAATGGTGGGTAGTATATGGGGCTTTGGTGACAAAAAGGATGGCACTGTGATAGACTACATCCAATTTGCTGAGTAGAGTGTTGGAAGCTATTTTGTAAATGACATCGCCAAAATCAAGGATCGGTAGGATGGTCAGTTTTACGAGGGCATGTTTAGCAGCATGAGTGAAGGAGGCTTTGTTGCGAAATAGGAAGCCGATTCTAGATTTAACTTTGGATTGGATATGCTTAATGTGAGTCTGGAAGGAGAGTTTACGGTCTAACCAGACACTTAGGTATTTGTAGTTGTCCACATACAGTGGGGAAAAAAAGTATTTAGTCAGCCACCAATTGTGCAAGTTCTCCCACTTAAAAAGATGAGAGAGGCCTGTAATTTTCATCATAGGTACACGTCAACTATGACAGACAAATTGAGAATTTTTTTCTCCAGAAAATCACATTGTAGGATTTTTAATGAATTTATTTGCAAATTATGGTGGAAAATAAGTATTTGGTCAACTACAAACAAGCAAGATTTCTGGCTCTCACAGACCTGTAACTTCTTCTTTAAGAGGCTCCTCTGTCCTCCACTCGTTACCTGTATTAATGGCACCTGTTTGAACTTGTTATCAGTATAAAAGACACCTGTCCACAACCTCAAACAGTCACACTCCAAACTCCACTATGGCCAAGACCAAAGAGCTGTCAAAGGACACCAGAAACAAAATTGTAGACCTGCACCAGGCTGGGAAGACTGAATATGCAATAGGTAAGCAGCTTGGTTTGAAGAAATCAACTGTGGGAGCAATTATTAGGAAATGGAAGACATACAAGACCACTGATAATCTCCCTCGATCTGGGGCTCCACGCAAGATCTCACCCCGTGGGGTCAAAATGATCACAAGAACGGTGAGCAAAAATCCCAGAACCACACGGGGGGACCAAGTGAATGACCTGCAGAGAGCTGGGACCAAAGTAACAAAGCCTACCATCAGTAACACACTACGCCGCCAGGGACTCAAATCCTGCAGTGCCAGACGTGTCCCCCTGCTTAAGCCAGTACATGTCCAGGCCCGTCTGAAGTTTGCTAGAGTGCATTTGGATGATCCAGAAGAGGATTGGGAGAATGTCATATGGTCAGATGAAAACAAATTAGAACTTTTTGGTAAAAACTCAACTCGTCGTGTTTGGAGGACAAAGAATGCTGAGTTGCATCCAAAGAACACCATACCTACTGTGAAGCATGGGGGTGGAAACATCATGCTTTGGGGCTGTTTTTCTGCAAAGGGACCAGGACGACTGATCCGTGTAAAGGAAAGAATGAATGGGGCCATGTATCGTGAGATTTTGAGTGAAAACCTCCTTCCATCAGCAAGGGCATTGAAGATGAAACGTGGCTGGGTCTTTCAGCATGACAATGATCCCAAACACACCGCCCGGGCAACGAAGGAGTGGCTTCGTAAGAAGCATTTCAAGGTCCTGGAGTGGCCTAGCCAGTCTCCAGATCTCAACCCCATAGAAAATCTTTGGAGGGAGTTGAAAGTCTGTGTTGCCCAGCGACAGCCCATAAACATCACTGCTCTAGAGGAGATCTGCATGGAGGAATGGGCCAAAATACCAGCAACAGTGTGTGAAAACCTTGTGAAGACTTACAGAAAACGTTTGACCTGTGTCATTGCCAACAAAGGGTATATAACAAAGTATTGAGAAACTTTTGTTATTGACCAAATACTTATTTTCCACCATAATTTGCAAATAAATTCATAAAAAATCCTACAATGTGATTTTCTGGATTTTTTCCCCTCATTTTGTCTGTCATAGTTGACGTGTACCTATGATGAAAATTACAGGCCTCTCTCATCTTTTTAAGTGGGAGAACTTGCACAATTGGTGGCTGACTAAATACTTTTTTCCCCCACTGTATTCTAAGTCAGACCCGCCGAGATTAGTGATTCTAGTCGGGCGGGTGTAAGCAGCGTTCTATTGAAGAGCATGCATTTAGTTTTACTAGCGTTTAAGAGCAGTTGGAGGCCAAGGAAGGAGTGTGGTATGGCATTGAAGCTCGTTTGGAGGTTTGTTAACACAGTGTCCAATGAAGGGCCAGATGTATACAAAATGGTGTCGTCTGCGTAGAGGTGGATCTGAGAGTCACCAGCAGCAAGAGCGACATCATTGATTTACACAGAGAATAGAGTCGTCCCGAGAATTGAACCCTGTGGCACCCCCATAGAGACTGCCAGAGGTCCAGACAACAGGCCCTCCGATTTGACACATTGAACTCTATCTGAGAAGTAGTTGGTGAACCAGGCGAGGCAGTCATTTGAGAAACCAAGGCTATTTAGTCTGCCAATAAGAATGCGGTGATTGACAGAGTCAAAAGCCTTGGCCAGGTCAATGAAGACGGCTGCACAGTACTGTCTTTTATAGATCGCGGTTATTATATCGTTTAGGACCTTGAGCGTGGCTGAGGTGCACCCATGACCAGCTCGGAAACCAGATTGCATAGCGGAGAAGGTACGGTGGGATTCAAAATGGTCGGTGATCTGTTTGTTAACTTGGCTTTCAAATACTTTCGAAAGGCAGGGCAGTATGGATATAGGTCTGTAACAATGTTGTTGATCCATCCTCAGTTTTCTCCCATAACAGCCATTGAACTCTGTAGCTGTTTTAAAATCACCATAGGCATCATGGTGACATCCCTAAGCAGTTTCCTTCCTGTCCTGGAGCTCAGTTCAGAAGGAAGACTGTATCTTTGATGTGTCTGGGTGGTTTAATACATAATCCACAGCATAATTATTAACTTGACCATGGTTAAAGATATATTCAATGTCTGATTTGTTATTTATACCCATCTACCAATCACTGCCCTTCTATATGAGGCTTTCGAAAAGCTCCCTGGTCTTTGTAGTTGAATCTGTGCTTGAAATTCAATACTTGACAGAGGGACCTTACAGATGTTGTATATATGGCGGACAGAGCAAGGGTTAGTCATTCAAAAATCATGTCAACCTCTATTAACTTATGTGATTTGTTAATCCAAAATGTACATTTAGGCCTAAACAAAGGGGGTGAATACTTATGCAATGACTATATTTTAGTAAATGTTTTTAATTTTAATTTTGACATTATGGAGTATTTTGTGTGGGTCAATGACAAAAAACAATTACATCTATTTCAATACCACTTTGTAATGCAACAAAATGTGAAAAAGGTTCAAGGGGGTGTAGACTTCCTATAGGCACTGTATATGGCCCTGCCCTGGCCTGGCCCTAGCTGTGGTTGGTTGGTTTTCCTGTGGTTTGACTGTAGGGCTAAGGGGCTATGGCCTGTTGATGAGTACTGCACAGTATGTAGTGAGGCCCTGTTATGTTCATCATGTGTTCTTTCAGCAGCAGAGCAGAGGCAACAAGCTGAGACACGACCAGATACCTCCTGTTTTGTTCTCACAAACACACACATTGTACATACACACATACAAATATGTGTGATTACAGTAGAACACACACACGTAGTACGCAAACACACAAACGTTCAAACAGTTACGAAGCCCAGAGGGTCAATCTCAATAAATCCAGGCACAATGCCAAAAGGTTTTTTGTCATTTAGCAGACGCTCTTATCCGGAGCGACTTACAGGAGCAATTAGGTTTAAGTGCCTTGCTTAAGGGCACATCGGCAGATTTTTCACCTAGTCGGCTCGGGGATTCCAACCAGCAACCTTTTGGTTACTGGCCCAACGCTCTTAACCGCTAGGCTACCTGCCGCCCAAAAATGGAATTCATGTCAATGACGTAGAGAGAGAAAAATATTCTCCCTGTTGTGAAAGCAGACAGACTGACAGATAGGTGGACAGACAGACGTAATCTGTGATCACAGACACACGCTAGCGCCAGACATAAAGTCAGCTTCCACCTCATCTCCTGTGAATGGAAAGGCAATCTGAGAGACTGGGTGAGGGGGGGGGGGATTAGTGAAGTCCCGTAAATTATGATTCAATCAAACACTACTAATACCGTCATCATGTCTGTGGGAAGTGCCAGTATTACCCAACATGAACATAGACACAGACTGGAGACAGAGAGTGAAGAAAAGCCCGGATCCTGATTACACAGGCAGACGGACAGAGGAAATGAAAGGGTTCTATTCTCTAAATACAGGCCAAGTCATAGTCTATGTCCCCCGCTCTTTCTGGTAAGCTTCTTGTTTGTTTTTACGAACAGTTAGTTTCCAGTAAATTCCAGTAGGATCAATCAGGAGGAGAATGTTTGTGTCTTAAACGGAAGTGGGAGCGATTGGGTCTGCAGGTCACATGGAGGGGTAGGGAGAGGAAGAGGAGGAGGAGTGTGTGGTGGTGGAGGTGCTTACCTATAAAGGGAATGGAGGCCATTGCGTCATCCTCTACAGACAGAGGGGCCAGGTTGCCATTGGTACGGCGCGGGGCACCCTCTCCTGAGGGGCGAGGGGCGGGGACAGCGTCGTGGGGGTCAGGGGGGAACACAGGGGGTTCCGTGCCATCTACAGGCAGGGTGTAGTGGGGGTGGCGCATGGCGTGGGCGCTCCTTCGCCCCGTGGGGGGTTTCTGTCTCAGTTTGACCTCCTGGGTCTGAGCTACCACCTCCACCTGCCCTTCCACTGCCCCCCTCTCATGGTTGGTGGGGTGGTAGGCCCTGTCAAGGGGCTCGGGGGTGGTGGAGGCCAGGGGGGATGGAACTGAGGGGACAACACCCTCTGGGGGGCTGGTTTTGGGGGTGGGGGCCCAGCTGAGGTGGGGGCCAAGGTAGGAGGGGTCCCTGAAGGAGGGTTGCTGCATGATGCGGCCTGTCTTGCGGTAGAAGGAGGGGCTGTAGCTGCGGTAACCTACTGGCTGGTCGTCCAGGCTCTGTCCGGTAGGCAGACGTCTGCTCTGGGGGGCTGGCTGTTGGGGCTGGGGCTGTGTGTGGGACTGTGAGTGGGGTTGGGGTTGGGAGTGGTTTTTGTGGTGTGGCTGTGCTTGTCGGCCCATAGAGGGGGCTGGTGCGACACCATAATGGTTCCCCTTCCTCTGGTAGGCCTCAGTCCTGGGAGCTTGCTGTGGGGCCTGCTGCAGCCAGGCGGGCCTCTCAAAACGGGGCGACTCCAGCATCTCCAGTGAGTGGCCATAGCGGTCGTACTGTACCAGCAGGTTCTCTGACCGGGCTCTGCTGCCGTAGGAGGGGTGACTCCGGTCCCGGGCCCCCTCCCAGTCTCCGTAGGTCCAAGAGGGGTCCCCGTGGGGGCCGGGGCCCGACTGCTGCAGTAGCATCAGGGTGTCCTGGGAGGCGCTGTGGGGCCAGCCACCCGGACCCCGGCGGTGGCACCCGGGGCCTGTCTCACACAGCCTGTCCTGAGAGTAGCTGCGGTGGCGTTGGTGCATGCTGCCACTACGGCCCTGGCGCTGCTCAGCAGCTTGGCTGTAGTACCACTCAGACAGGGCCTGTTGGCAGTGCTGGCTGCGGCTGGGGCTGGGCTGGGGAGGGCTGGCCCAGGCCTGGCTGACCTTCCGTGGCTGAGAGGAGGCGGTGGTGGCGGTGGCAGCATTGTGGTTGACGTAGTGGACATGCAGAGGGCTGCTGAGGGGCCCTCCTGAGGAGGAAGATGAGGAGTAAGAGCGACCCCTGGTCTGTCCCGTAGGCTGCTGCCCGGTCACACCGTACTGGATCTCCTCTGTCCTGTGGGGGGGGCTACTGTGGCCCATGCCCCCCGGCTCTCCGCCCCGCCCCTCCTGCCAGCTGGCCGGGCTGCCAACGGCGGAGCGGTTGTCCAGGGGGGACGAAGGGCTGGAGGAGCCTGCCCAGCGGCTCCAGTTGTCCAGCTGGTTCTGGCCCATGGGGGCCGGGGCACCGGCGGGAGGCTGGGACTTGGCGCGGGGAGCGTAGCAGAGGGGCGGGGGTACCGGAAGGTTCCGGGCTCCCCCTGTGTAAGGCTCGTTGCCCCTCAGGTAGGCATCCTGGGAGTATGCCTGTAGGGGAAGACATAGAGGGAGAGAGGTGAGACACAAACAGGAGGAGTTCAGGTGACGAACAGAGGTCAAAGGTCAGAGGGGAGGAAGGAGCAGGATCAGTAGATGGACTCTGTCAATGATTCAATAGCATTGCTTTGACAGTCACAGGTTTGACCGGCACAGTATTCCACTAAAGCTCCTTGTTAACTATTATGTTATACAGCAAGCAACGTTCATCCTCCTACCACCTCAGTCTGCTCAGCCACAGTGACTCTTTAGGCCCCAACTCAGCCTCCAACACAAACACAGCTAGCTAGCTAGTTAGTTACTGGCTCCAGCACACGCCTTGAGCAAGAGCCACAACACAACAGCAATGTTCCAAATACACCACTACAACAAAGCACTGACTTAGAGCAGAATCTGTATCTATCAAAACAAGCACAGAATCCCACTGCTATAGCTCGCTTGATCTAATATACACCCACAACAACAACACACATCTAAAGCATCGTTCAGCCCCTGAAGCTACAGCCACAACACTGAACAAGAAACAACAAAGCTACAGACTTCAAACATCTTTGCCCCCCAAAAATTGTCTATCAAAAGGCAACACTTAAAGATAAAGTGTTCAGTGGTGTTCAGGCTTTACCTCCGAGAGCAGGGCAGTCTGGCAGTGTCTCTCAGACTCAATACTGGCTTGAAGTCACTCACAGAGGAAGAGGAGAGGAGGGGAAGACTCCTCAATGCACTAGTCTGTTTGCTTCCCACAGACACTACCACTCCCGTTGCTACGATTTACCACTCTCTCCCTCTCTCTCTCTCGTTATGTCTCGCCGTGTTCTTTTCACTCCTTTTTTGTCACTCTTGCTGTTCTTTTTAAGCTATCTGTCGAACTTTCTTCTTGTTTTCTACTTGCTTCGTTCAGTATGCTGTCCTCAGACAAGCCCTTCCAAACTCCCTCTCCTCTTCCCTCTCTCTCTCCCTCACTCTACCCTGTGGGAGGGTGGAAGGGGGCGTAGCTAGTGCTGGTGATGTCACCATTGGAATGCAACTGATGCACGTGCTGCAGTGAGGGGCGGAGTGAGAGGAGAGAAGGGTGGAGGGGTGGGGGTAGTGGTAGTGGAGTTGAAGGATGGCAGTATTCGGGAAGGGGAATCAGACAGGGTGCTTGGTGGGTAGGGGGTTGTGTGTGAGAGAGAAGCCCAGGTTGGGCGCCCAGGTCTGGGAGGTTGTGTCAGTGTTGTGCCCCTGGGTTGCTCCTCCTGGTCCAGAGGAGAGGCGGTGACATGCTCTGCTCTGCATGTCTGGTCATGTGAGTAAGTGGTGGAGCAATTTATGGACAGAGTCAAAATGTGTGTGGGTGTGTGAGTATGTAGGTAGCTGCTTTTCATGTGACGCGTCTACAGAACTTTGAATAATAGCTTGAATGAATGTGTGTTGTAATCTAACTACAGACTAGAAAGCATATTAGTCACAGTCAAGCTAGTTTATGAGAGTTTGAGAATTTCAACTCAAAGCAATGGAGGAATGACAAGAATGACAATATCCAAGATGTTATCTCTCTGTAGTATTAGTATTCGTAAATCAATCAATGATTCAGGAGAGAGTATGTATTTCTATTAGGGTGTAGTGTGGCAGAATTGTCATACTCACACTTACCAGCTGCAGCACGTCTTCATCTTTTGGCATTATACAGAGCTCCAACACACTCTCACTGTGGAGGGAACGAGAAGAAAAGAGAGGGGGGACAAGGAAGAGAGGGCAAAGAGAGGGGGAACCGAAGAGAGGGGAGAAAAGGACAGAGGAAGGGAAAAGGGAACACAGATGGAAGGATAGAAAAACAATATAATTCCACATTTTTTCCAAACTCATCATGTTACAGTAAGATAACACTTTCCCCCCAGTTGTGACGAAGGGATTTGTTTTGGTTTGGGATTAGTTGATCAGCAACCATGTCACAGGAGACACTGTTGCTGCTGACCCTGGTGACACTACTGCTCTCAGTGGATGTGATCTGTACACTCACTGCTCCAGGCTATTCTCTTTAGGAGGAATTACTCACACAGTCAAGGAAGACTTACACAACTGAACATGTTATGTTCCACATTCCAGAATGATACTATACATACATAAAACATGCATTGTAAAACAGACACATCTCATACATAAACAACACCCATACATACAGTACTAGTTAGAATTTTAGGACACCTACTCATTCTAGGGTTTTTCTTTATTTTTACTATTTTCTACATTGTAGAATAATAGTGAAGACATCAAAACTATGAAATAACACATATGGAATCAAGTAGTAACCAAAAACATGTTCAACAAATCAAAATATACTTTCAATTTTCGATTCTTCAAAGTAGCCACCCTTTGCCTTGATGACAGCTTTGCACACTCTTGGCATTCTCTCAACCAGCTTCATGGGTTAGTCACCTGGAATGCATTTCAATTAACAGGTGTGCCTTGTTAAAAGTTAATTTGTGGAATTTCTTTTCTTCTTAATGCGTTTGAGCCAATGAGTCGTGTTGTGACAAGGTAGGGGTGGTATACAGAAGATAGCCCTATTTGGTAAAAGACCAAGTCCATATTATGGCAAGAACAGCTCAAATAAGCAAAGAGAAACAACAGTCCATCATTACTTTAAGACATGAAGGTCAATCAATCCGGAAAATTTCAAGAACTTTGAAAGTTTCTTCAAGTGCAGTCGCAAAATCCATCAAGCTCTATGATGAAACTGGCTCTCACGAGTTACCTCTGCTGCAGAGGATAAGTTCATTAGAGTTAACTGCACCTCAGATTGCAGCCCAAATAAATGCTTCACAGAGTTCAAGTAACAGACACATCTCAACATCAACTGGTCATCCCCAAAGCCAACACCTCCTTTGGCCGCAATTCCTTCCAGTTCTCTGCTGCCAATGACTGGAACAAATTGCAAAAATCTCTGAAGCTGGAGACACTTATCTCCCTCACTAACTTTAAGCATCAGTTGTCAGAGCACCTTACCGATCACTGCACCTGTACACAGCCCATCTGAAATTAGCCCACCCAACTACCTCATCCCTATATTGTTATTTATTTTGCTCATTTGTACCCCAGTATCTCTATTTGCACATCATCTCTTGCACATCTATCATTCCAGTGTTAATACTAATTGTAATTATTTTGCACTATAGCCTATTTTATTGCCTTACCTCCATAACTTGCTAAATTTGCACACTGTATATTATATGTATTTCTGTTGTATTTTTGACTTTGTTTTGTTTTACCCCATATGTAACTCTGTGTTGTTGTTTTTATCGCACTGCTTTGCTTTATCTTGGCCAGGTCGCAGTTGTAAATGAGAACTTGTTCTCAACTGGTTTACCTGGTTAAATAAAGGTGAAATAAAAATAAATAAAAAAAACTGTTCAGAGGAGACTGCGTGAATCAGGCCTTCATGGTCGAATTGCTACAAAGAAACCAGTACTAAAGGACACCAATAAGAAGAAGAGACCTGCTTGAGCCAAGAAACACGAGCAATGGACACACCTCCAGGCTGTGTAAGGGTGCTGCATCAGATGACCTGGCCTCCACAATCACCCGACCTCAACTCAATTGAGATGGTTTGGGATGAGTTGGACCACAGAGTGAAGGGAAAGCAGCCAATAAGTGCTCAGCATATGTGGGAACTCCTTCAAGACTGTTGGAAAAGCATTCCTCACGAAGCTGGTTGAGAGAATGCCAAGAGTGTACAACGCTATCATCAAGGCAAAGGGTGGCTACTTTGAAGAATCTCAAATCTCAAATATATTTTGATTTGTTTAAAACTTTTTTGGTTACTCCATGATTCTATATGTGTTATTTCATAGTTTTGATGTCTTCACTATTATTCTACAATGTAGAAAATAGTAAAGATAAATAAAACCATGGAATGAGTAGGTGTATCCAAACTTTTGACTTGTACTGTACATACTGTGGGCACACACAGTCCAGTGGCACTTACCTGTTCTGTATGAGGGCGATCACCTGGGAGTAGGTTTTCCCCAGGACACTCTCTCCATTCACCTTCACCAGCCGATCCCCTGCAACACACACGCATACATACTTAAATCACAGTAGGACCAAACACAGCACAGATATTCAGTGATCCACACACGCACTAGAGCAACCCCTCCACCACCCCCATCACTGACCCCAGTCACACCCACCTCCCCCCCCAGACACAGGCCTCCAGCAGAGGGATATCCTGGTGGGTCAGGTCAGGGGAGGGAAGGTCAGGGAGACCCCAGACCCAGACACACACATCCTGCTGGGGGATGGGTGGTTTATGGCTGAGAGGGGGGCTTGATAGGGACTGTGTATGGAAATATAGAACTATGTGTTTGCAATAGGTGCTGTGAAGTCAGGAAGGACAAGGTGTCGCCTCGGGGTATATTGTGTGTTGACATACCGGATCATAAGCCTGAGGAAAAATGCCTGTATCTGTTTGTGTGTATGGCAGGAGAAGGGATGAGTCATTCGTTGTGTGTTAGTGTGTGGATGTGTTTTGGTGGTGCACGTTTGTGTGTGTGTGTGTGCGTATATATTTGTTAGGAGTACTGATTTAGCTTGGCTGGGCTGCAGGGAGAGGAATGCTACCCAGCTTAGCCTGCAAGACACAACAGGAAAATATCTCTAATTAGCTCTAACTCACACTGCTGGGTATTTGTCAGTCTGTGTAATTCTGTTCTCATCAGTATCATTACTAATTTCCTAAGACAGTAATGCAACTTTAATGTGTGTGTGTTTGCTGAACATGGTCTGGTTAGTATCCTTGTTGAATCATTGGAAGCACCTGATTCCCTCTCGCTCTGATCTCATCATCTATGTGTGATCATGTCTGATGCTCTTCAGGTTATTTCCATTACAAATCAGACTGTTCTGCCCACACTCATTCTCCCGTCCCGCTCTTTCTCATTCACACACATATTGTCCTTACCTGTACACAAGCCAGCCTGGTGAGCGGGACCTCTCTCTCTCACATTCTTGACAAATATGGTGTCCATTGGCTCCAACCTACTTCTCCCTACATGGAACATACAGTATGTTACTGTCAGTTCATTCTTCAATTGATTAAATAGAACCTGATAATAACTATTAATTAATCATTGCCTACTGGGCACAGACTTCAATTCATCGTCTATTCAACGTTGGTTCAACGTAATTTCATTGAAATGACGTGGAAACAACATTGATTCAACCAGTGTGTGCCTAGTGGGAATATACTATATGCATCAATATCATGACATGAACATAAATACTGCCAATAATCCAATTGAGACTCAATAAAAGGACAACTCTATGCACAGGTCCAGGTTCAGTTTCCTTCCCCCTTTTCTTAACTGTGAGCATTACAAGATAAGGAATCAAACTGTCCTAGGACCAGTGTTTTGGGGCCACCAGCCCATCGGCAGCAGCGGGGAGGCTCGATCCTGCAGGGGGAGCAGTGTAGCTACAGACTAGAGGGGGACCCTGGCTAGTGGGGTGGTGACATCATCGAGAGACCAGAGTCTAGTGGTGATGGTGTTGACTGAGGGAGAGGGGGGGCAACTTACCCTTTCCATTCCCGTTCTCCTCGTCCTGTGAAGACAATGAAAAACAACATCAACACTGATATCCAGGCCCATACAGACAATGTTACCCAGGGGACAAAGCTCCACGACAACCTTAACATCTGTTCACACAACGTCCACCTCTTTCCGTGAAACCAGAATGACACAGGTATTACATTTACATTATTTAGCAGACGCTCTTATCCAGAGCGACTTACAGGAGCAATTAGGGTTAAGTGCCTTGCTCAAGGGCACATCGACAGATTTTTCACCTAGTCGGCTCGGGGATTAGAACCAGCGACCTTTCGGTTACTGGCACAACGCTCTTAACCACTAAGCTACCTGCCGCCATAGGAAGGGTGGAGTTGGGTGAGGAAACAGCCACGACGCCTTAGACTAGTGTGCACCCTCCCGAGTGGCGCAGTGGTCTAAGGCTGTGCCACTAGAGATCCTGGTTCGAGTCCAGGCTCTGGAGTCCCATAGGGCGGCGCACAATTGGCCCAGCATCGTCCGGGTTAGGGTAGGGTTTGGCCGGCAGGGATGTTCTTGTCCCATCACGCACTAGCGACTCCTGTGGCGGGCCGGGCACGCTGACAGTCACCAGGTGTACGTTGTTTCCTCCAACATATTGGTGCGGCTGGATTCCGGGTTAAGCGGGCACTGTGTCAAGAAGCAGTGCGGCTCAGTTGGGTTGTGTTTAGGAGGACGCACGGCTCTCGAACTTTGCCTCTCCTGTGTAGGTACGGGAGTTGCAGCGATGGGACAAGACTGTAACTACCAATTGGATACCACGAAAAAGGGGTTAAAAAATAAATAAAAAAAGACTAGTGTACACTAGTGTATCTACTTGTTGTGTGCACATGTGTGGTTGTTCGTGTGAATGGAAGCTTCCAAACACTCAAAGTGTCCCCTAAGCTCGTGTTTATGCACAGTGTCTGGCATTTGAATCATGTAGATCTTTTTTTACAAGCTGATTAGCATGTGAGGAGTGACTTCACTGGTATCCCAGCCAGGACTCTCAGACAAACAGACCAGTTCTGGTTTATGAGCTCCTAACGTTCAGCACACACACAGCAGAGACACTCAAACAGGTTTGACTGTCTGCAGGTGGTGATGTCATACACAGAGCCAAACACATGTATTTGTCTGGATCAGACAGACGAGGGCAGCACTGAGCAAACAGTCTGTCTATCATGGGTGCTGTTTGATAGGGTGATAGACTGATGTAGGCGCACACACACTGAGCTGAGTGGGCAGTTTGGGGTGAGTGAGGGGCAGGGTGGACTGGCTGGCTGGTGCCTGGCTTTAGGCAGAGCTGAGTGGGCTCATTCCTGCCTCCACAGACAATAGTGGGGGTTTATGGCTAGAGAAAGGAGGGCTGCCGCCCCAGAATAGAGCCAGGAGCCAGGGACGCTCCCCAGCTGAGCTGACCACCCCTGTCTGGACACATGCGGGCCTGGGGTGGGGCTGAGGACCGAGAGATGGAGATGCACTATCCTCATCTCCACATCCCTCTTTGATTCTCTCTCTCTCTGTGGATATAGATTTCGGGTTAGGGACAGGTGCCATGTATGCACTGATCAGTCCATTAGGAAGATCATCAGGCATCTGTCCATGATGAAGGGAGTCACACATCATACAGGTCTTTGATGGGGCAGTCACCCCTGAGGCCCTTACAGATGGGTAGGGAAGAAGACTGCGTTCTCTGTGCCACTAGCTGCCCCTCACAGCAGCATGTGACCCTGGGGACAGGACAGTGCAGGCAGCAGTGGGCCCATTGTCCGTAGGGATCCTGGTAGAGGGCATGGTACTGCCGGTCCAGGCTGGGGGTGATATGAGAGTGGTACCAGGCAGGCCAGGACAACAGAGCCTATTGACACAGGTTGTGTCCCAAATGGCACCCTATTCCCTTTATAGTGCACTACTTTTGACCAGGGCCCATAGGGCTGTGGTCAAAATTAATACACTATATAGGGAATAGGGTGCCATTTTTGGACGCACCCACTGTGTCCTGTCCTTACTGCAGCTGCTCGGCTGGGGGCTGAAGGGGGTTCATCATAATAGGGACCTTGTTTCGGCTGGCTGAACCCCCCCCCCCCCATTTCACATCTGTAGCTCTGTCTGCCCCGACACCTCAGAGAACAGAACAAAACACCCACAGGGATGATGCTTTTTCTGAGGAGATTGTTATCTATGATGCTGAATGGCTGTAAGGTTAAGATAGAACATATCTTTCAGGTAAACACTGTTGTTGTCCCTGTACGGTTTCTTACAGCAGTGCCCTCCTTCCAAAAGGTACGCTGGCAGTGGTAGCATTGTCTGTCCATAGACGGTAAAACAGACTGATAACTTAATGGGACTCTCTCTCCTTAATTGGTCATACAGGTTGTGTATCACCTAAGTTGCATCCCCTTCTGTCCTTCGCTTGTTTATCCATCTCTACTCTAATGACAGGGCTCTTCTTATGGCATCCATCTGTCTATGTCCCTAATCTGATTAACTCATACGAGTCTACCCCAACACTTTAATTGGCTACGCTTGTTCAATCCCTGCATTTAATTAGCTATGCTTGGCTTGTCATCCATTGTCCCCCATTGTCTTGACCTTACTGCTCCTGTGTTCTGATCGACCTCCGACCTTCTTGCCCTGTGATCTGATTGGTCCCGTCTTACTGCCCCTTACAGGTCCATGTGATATGATTGGGTCAGTCTTAAAGGGATAATCCACCCTAGAAATGAAATGTGACGTGATACTTCATCATGATAAGGTTCTCGTCAATGGAGATGGGGATTACAAACTATCCGTTTTCATAACGCTTTTAAAACAATTACCCGAACACTCCAGATCGCCAAATAAGCCAATAGATGATATGGGCATACTTGTGTAGAACACATCCATCAGTCTATATCGTCACGACAAAGTATATATTTTGTTCAAATGTCCTCAAAGATTAATATCCTTTCTTCCTTCAACTACCATGGCACAAACCTGTTTTCTCCTCTAGTCGCCCTGTGAGTTGCCATAGCAACTCGACTCACACAGCTTTGAGCTAGAAACGTTATCTCTACCAGGTCGAACATGGTGATATTGTAACACCTCACGGCACAATGCCTCTCCCCTATTTGACCTAGATAGTTTGTATGTATGTATTGATATGTAGGCTACGTATGCAATTTTTTAATTGATGTAGTTCTGTCCTTGAGCTGTTCTTGTCTATTAATGTTCTGTATTATGTCAAGTTTCATGTTTTGTGTGAAGCCCAGGAAGAGTAGCTGCTGCTTTCGCAATAGCTAATGGGGATCCTAATAAAATACCAAAATTGATAGTGCAGTTTGTTTCAGGGATTTTACAACTAGCTACTGTAACTACTTCACATGATGATAATGACTTTGGTATTATGGAGTGTAGCAATTTTTTCTAGCTAGCTACCTAGCTAGCCAGCCAGCCAGCCAGCCTTTCTAGATAGAGCATTGCATTGTGGGTTTTGTAGTCGACTTGAGTTCTGCAGATATCTACAAGTATGATTTTATTGTCTTCTAATTTATTATAAACGTTGAAATGCGATTTTTCTTCACAACATATGTTGCTCTCACATATTTGCAGAATGTGTGGTTTTGAGTGGATTATTCCTTTAAAGCCCCAGTTGTTGTGTCCAGTGGTGGTACCTTGAGGCTGGTGTGCAGGGCAGACTCTGGTGGGTAGACGATGAAGTGGCGCAGTGTGAAGCCGAAGCCCTGGGAGTTCTTCTGGAGTAGTAGCGTCCGGGGGCCCTGCCAGCCAACGCCAACCCCCTCTCCTCCCACTCCCGCTGCCATCGCAGGCCGAGGGTTGTCACCGGACGAGGAGAGCCCATCTCTCCACCCCTTTGCCTGTTGAACAGAAAGAGAATGAATACACGTGAGACTCAGGTCATATCCCTAAAACAATCACCTATGTCACTCCAACGGTCAACACTCCATAAGTACCCAACCAGTTCCTCCTTCCACCAAGTATTCTCAGGAAAAAGTTTCATAACTTTATGGAACTGGAACAAAGGTCAAACGACATCCATGCTATACTTGGAGCCATAACAGCAAGAGACAGACCCCAGAGTGACCACCTTATGGGTTGCTGGTTACTTCATTAGTGACTTCCCCTGCAGGCAGGAATAGGAATGTGTCTGTTTCTGTCCTGGGAGACTGGCGGACAATGAGTGTGTGTGTATCCATATGTTTTAATGCTAGTGGGTGAGAGGTGAGCACGGCTGGCCCATAGGGCCAGGCAGTCCCCACATGGCACCCAGCACCACAACAATGTCCCATAAAACACTAGTGGGTCCTGGAGGGGCTGTCAGGAAGAGCCCAGGTCTAGACGGAGTGGAGCGGGAGGGGCTCCTGGGAGAAACACTCAGGAATGCTCAGGACGGAACTCTAACCAATTAAGGAATGCCGGTAACCAATCAGGATTGACCTTGGTCATGTCATAGCGCACCAGAGTTGTGTGAAAGGGTCAGGGTGATTTGGAGTAGATTTCCACTCATTTTCCCCAAAGAAGGCATCATAGTTCTGGGCCTGGGAAAATACCAAACATGACAGATACATGTGAAAACTAACACCCTGCTTCTGCTGCTACAACCCAAATCTGTCACTCAAACACAACCACCTGACCAAACAGGGATGGGAGGGAGGGAGGAGGGAGACACAACCTTCGTAAACGTAGATGAGCCTGTTTGGTCAAAATACCTATTGACTCTTCTCTATGGAAGCCCAGTTACATAATTGTACCGGTGTCTCTCCTCCTGACTCTCCACTCCCAGGGTGTGTGAGAGGGTGTGTGTGTGTGTGTGTGTGTGTGTGTGTGTGTGTGTGTGTATCCATATGTTTTAATGCTAATAGGTGACTGGTGAGTACGGCTGGCCCACAGCTGGCAGTAGCCCTTCACACTCGTACCCGTATACGGGTTGAAATGGCAGATTTGGGCACTGATAAGAGCCTAAATTGGAATGCAGTGGCAGTACTGTCACATCCTATACATGGAAGTCAGGGTCTCCGCTTCACAGCGCTTTATGGGTTTTGACTTACAGCCGTTCTGAACTTGAGCACCACATGAAGAAGTTGCCCCCATCTCTCCCGCTAATTGGGCAACTTTTGCAAATGTGTTGTTTTCTGTGTGAGGGAAATGCTGTAAATTAAGAGGACTCGATGTATTTTGAAAGATGAGACGTTGAGGATTATAATAAATACAGCTTTGATGTCATACAAGCAAGCCAAATACCTGTGAGTCCAAATGTGCACTTCACATTTCCATATCATAAAACTCATGTCATATACAGTGTCCATGTTTATGATAACTATGTTTGATGTTCAGTTACAAGATGACATGGCGTCATACCCTGGGTTGTCCTGAACAGAATGAGCTTATGTTTGTCTATTGTGAAGAAGGACCACGCATTTGAATGCATTCGTGACTCCATTCTATGCGCACAAGAATTACGATCTGCTTCTCTGAATTGCCTTGGGAAAGCCTAAGACTGTAAGATCGTATTATAGAAATGTAGCTAGTCATGTTGGCAATGGAACAAGCTTTCAAATTATGCCCACCTGACCCATATTGCTATTTATAATGGACCGTTTTTGGATTGCGTAAACAACAAGGGTAATTGTATGATTGCGGGGATGCAGGAATGTGTTCCAACCAAAACAACTACAAGTGTGCTCTAGTTCCTCAATGCCACAGCTAGGAGTGCTCAAAAAAGCACCTTATAGTTGATGACTCTTCTTTGAGTCATAAAGTGCATTGAAAATACTTAAGAACTGTGCACACTCTGGAGAGTTGTGTGGCCACTTGGAGACACCAGTTAGTCCTCTCACTCAAACCCTTGTAAAGTTTTTGTTTTATGTTGCACCTACCCCACATTTTCCAAGAATGTTCTTATCATTTTACTGAAGGTGTCCAGAGTAGTATCAGATTTCGTTATCAACAAATGTGGCGAAAAAGTACAGTAAATGTAAAATGTACATTAAATCAACAGTGTAATGTTTGGATTCAGTCTTGTGTCAGATGAACTGTCCTCACCTTTAATCTAATGATTTTCCCATAATCTCCAAACTGTTCCCTTTTAATTGCTACCATGGTTATGCATATGCTTTCCATATTTCTTCTGTAGAAAATAGATATATTTAGCCCTATCCATATAGGTCAATTCCCACAAGTGTAAAGGGTTAACCCCCAACACAAACCCTATATTTCACTTCCTGTGCCCCCTCCCCCCTCCACACACTCTGACCTCGCAGGGCCAATCACCCAGCCCGCTCAACAACAGGAAGTGGCAGGCTGGGGACAGGAAGTGTGGTACCATAGAGGAGGGATAACCAGGCGTACAGAGCACCTATAAATACAAAACCACAGGGGGTCAGCTCTTTCTCGCTCTCTCTCACAATATCCCTCGCTTCTACAATACAGTACCTTCTCTCCTCTGTTCTTCCTTCCATTCTACCGCTCTCACCTCTCCTCCCTTCCATCTCTCCTTCCTCCATCACCACATATACATTCTTGCCATATGATCCAGCTGTAGTGACCTTTACAACACATCCTCTCTTTCTCCTCCGCTCGATGCATAGCTCTCTATATAGCTGATGATGTCACCTTGTTCTCACCATGTCGCAATGCCCAAGTAACTCTCCCACATTTCATAAACAGACGAGACATGAGAATAACAAGGGAGAAAGTGTAAATGAGAGATGTATGAAAGAGAGGGGGAGGGAAGAGAAGAGGGGAAAATAGAGAGAGTGAAAATGAAAGAGTAGGCTTAAGATATGAAGAGAGAA